CGGCCCCCCTTGTATAATGGTAGGGGAAGGCTGAATCCAGTTTACAAAACATGAAAATGGCAGTAACCTTGTCAGTTTTACCAATTTTGAGCTACAATTTAACGTGGTAGTAGCAGAGAGTACTTTAAATAGGTTTCCATTCTAAGAGTCAATGCTTATATATTTTTTGTGCTGTTACTTACAGCTCTTATAGAGACATCAAGAAATCTGAAACTGGAATCTGCCAAGAAAACTCCAACTGGTACATCTCTAGTGAATATATTAGACTTATTCAGCTGTTAGTTCAGTTATTTCATTCAGTGTTTATGATTTTACAGAAAAGTCACGTCTCCATAGAGCTGTGCAGTTATTTAAAATGTGAAAACCTGCTAGCCTTGATTTGTTTTCACATGATAGGTGCTAATATTTAGCTGTTGACTATTTGGAAGGGAAACTTGAGTTGGATGGCTGGCACGGTTTTTGTGCAAAGCAATGATTATCCATGAGAGCTAAATCATTCGATTCTCTTTCATCAACAATTAGCTAAATTTTGCTGCTGTGAGATTTTGCATTTTCAGATGAACATATGTTCCAAAACACTAATGGATAAGTTGTTTTACCTCAAATGATACATATTCCATTAAACCATAAGCCAAAGATCTCAGGCAGCCGTGGGAATACTTAGATTTTTCATGGTTTTTGAGAAATTACAGCCAGATTTCACTGCAGCCGACCACAGCATTAGCCAACAGCCTTCAAGCAGAGAGGCTTTTAAGAGCTATAAGACCACGACAGAACAGCAACAGGAGTTATTTGAACAGTGATGAATGATCCCAGCTAATCAGAAATGACAGGGCATGGGCCTGCAGAGGCCCGAAGAAACCTTTGATTTGAAGTACAAACAGATCAGATTAAAAAGGCCTTTGAACCCAAAGAAAAGTTCATTTTTAAAGGTGAAACATATGAAAACGGACAGGCATCAAGGCGTCTTTGGAGATAAAGACCTTCTTCCGAAAGAGTGAAAATTTGACCAACCAGTGCGACTGTGCTTCCAAAAAGATGACGGTGTTTTTCAATGTTTCAGGATGAGGACGAGTTGTCTCCAATGTGATTGTGTGGTTTCGCATGGACAGATTACAAGGTACAGACTCTGCAACTAGTGTACTTCGAATAAAAAAAGATAAAGAAGGCTATCATTAGGACTCAGCTCTCCAACCCTCTCAAGCTTTCATTCCTCTCCCATCATTTTCTGTAATGACTCCAATCTGTCTTGTTGCAAATTTATCATGCGGTTCATCCAAAAATGGCAGGCAGATGTGGGTAGTTGTCACAGAAACACAGTGAATCTTGAAGGGTTACAGTGCCTCAACAAAACCTGGATGATTCAAAGACTTCCTGCTCTCTGTTCGCTTTTGATTAAAACTTAAGTCTGTCTGTGCAGGAGACAGAGCAGCTGACATAAACAGTGTGTACCACATCTCACAGCTGTTGTGTACAATTTAAATCACAAGTAATAAAATGCCACTTATAATTTACTGCTGTTTAGGCTTTGCTCCAGCAAACAGTCCTGCCAACATCACGATGGTATTCTGTGTATAAAATAATGATGTTAAAGTCTGAGACTGACTCATTTTGCCTACGAATCCAAAACCATTACCTGTTTCAGTCATTTTATTGGTTCAAGCTTCTTAAGGCTACGTTCACACTGCAGGTCTTAATGCTCAGTTTCGATTTTTTTGAAAAAAATCAGATCTTTTTGTGTGAGCGTTCACATTACATTTAAAATGTGACCTGCATCAGACTCCTGTGTGAATGCTACACATCACTGATGTGACACATGTGCAGTAAAAGACGTGATGTCTCATCAGCCGGCTTGTTTGTTTACTGAGCTAGCATGGATGCTACATTTTGCGCATCGAATCAGAAGTTGTTGTTTAATCAGAGCAGATTAAATAATTATC